ACAATATTTGGGACTGAAGTTTTTGAGTTGATTCAGCAACCACTACTACTAGGGCCCCTGATCATTTGTTTCTGGGCGCAGCTGATAATGGACTGCTGGTGGAAATGATGGTCTGAGTGGGCCTGGGGCTCAGTGTGAGTAAGGAGAGGGAAGGGACCCATCAGCTAGAGCTGGCCTGGCCTGTGAGGACTGGTAGAACAGGAGGCAGGAGATCCATGGTAGTGCTAATTCCCGCTGTCCTTCTATGTCTTAGTATTTGCCACAGTGCATGGAAAAACAGTGCTAAGACTTCCTGGAAAGAAGACTTATCTCCACAACTCTGCAGCTCAGCAAACATGGCAGTGGAAACGATTTTCACCAACACAAGGGCGCTTTGGAGGCCAAGAGGAAGCCGACCGTTGAAAGCAAGAGGTCTGGTTCTGCAATTGCATTTATCTTACTTGCTGCTGTTGTTCAGAAATTGAGCACACACTCCTCCCCCACCAAAGAGACACCTGAGCCTCGCCCCACCTCCAGTGTGAAATGTGAACATATGCTGTTACTGGTTATGTAAGCAGCTCCAGGAATCCTGACAATGGTTCTGATGCTATCATTATTCTGCTGAAGACCTTGGAGATCCTGGTTCTAGACACCAAAGCCCTGATGCTAGCGAAGATGGTTCAGTCAATAAGTGCTTCAGCATGAGAACCCAAGTTTGATCCCCAGAACCCACATACAAAAGTCAGGTGTGAGCATGGAGACAGGTGGATTCCCTGGTGCCTTCTGGACAGTCAGCCTAACCTAATCAATGTGTCCCAGGCCCATGAGAAACCCTGTCCTGAAGTGAAAAAACGAGGTGGATGGTATCTGACGAGTGTTGCCTGAGGTTGACCCCCAGTCTCCACATACATGTACATGTGTACCCCCCCCACACACACACAGCCCTTCCTAACTATCTGGCCTGTTCTGACAGGAGAGTCCTAAGATTCACTCTGCCAACTAAGTCAAGCTGGTCTGCCTTGAGGTATCACCCACCTCCTCCTCATGCTCCACTCTGGTTTTCTGTGGGCTTTGTACCCATTCTGTGAGGTCTTTAGGGGTTGGAAAACATGTGTCTCATCCACACCTGCCCACATGTCCTGGGCAGGCAGACATTATGGAGGTGTTTGGTGAGCTAACCTGGCCTGCAGCCCGACTCCATCATACTCTCCAGGAGTGGTTTCAGAACCTACAACCTGGCTGTCACTGCAGTAGCTCTGGGAGTCATGCCAGCTCTGAACCTCTTTTGCACAGAGCAGGGGCTCCCTAGGATCTGCTCTCACCCACGCACCTCCTAAGCTCCCTAGGCTCAGGCTCTCCATCTGCCTAGAATGTTCCATACCTCCTTTAGTACCCAGAAACCATCTGCTTGTCCACTCTCACTTCCTCTAACTTTTCCCCAGTGTCCCATGCCTAGGTCCCTTCATGCAACCCCTCTCTTGCTCCCTCTGCAGCCTTTGAGCTCTGTGAAGGCAAGGCTCTTTGATTGTTTCTTCCCTGTGTCTCACTTTGACACACAGGAATCATTTTCAGAACAAACTAACCTCTATCTGTAAACACTGAAATTCGCCTCTGCAAGGTTGGCACCATTCTGTGGGAACCTGTGCGGGTAGGCAAAGACACTCAGTCCTTGCAGGCTGAAGATGCAAGAATCTGAAATGGCCTTTGCCCCCAAGTGCTGTTCCATGTCTGAGGAGGATCAAAGGCTGGCTTTCAGAAGCCAAGAACTACAAAAGCCAAAGGAAAGCCACTGCTGTCTCCCTGTTCCTTTTCTTTTCCCCCATTTTCTTTTGGCAACTGCATGGTGGTAGAAGGTCTCAACATTTGCTTTTGAAAGCAAATCAGTATGGTTAGAAGTTTCTGGAAGGCCCAATAACAAGGCTGCAAAGGCCCCATCTGTTCCAGCTTAGATTCTGCTGACCTTGGCACTTTTGGGTCTGAGATACCACCTTCCTGTTCCAATGGCAGAGGAGCTGTCTGTTCTCTAGAAACCCCAGAGAAGCTGCTTCATTTATCCAGTCTCTTTCTTGGGGCCACAGGTCTCTGCCAATCTTCTGTCCCCTCAGTTCTCTTTCTGCTAATGCTCTCTACCAAAAGATGCACTGCAGTATCTGCTAAGGCTCCCTCTAGCATCAGTTGGGATTAAAGCATGAAGATGAAGGATGTGATCTTGGTTTTTCTCCACTCTGGGAGTCTTAGATTGTTTCAAGTCATCCCCATCCATCTGAGCTGTGACTTCCTCGGCAAGGTCTACAATGCTGAGACTCTTCTTCTGGCTGTAGAGGGAAAGCTTCTCTTTTCTCCTGTAGTGGCCTTCATTGCTTCCCTGGATACCCAGGAACTGGCTGGCAGATGAGCATCCTTGTCTAGCCATAGAACTCCTACAATTCATGCTTAGAAAGGACTGCATTAAGAAGTAGGGGTAAGCTTTCAGACAGAAATTTGACAAGGTTTAATTGACTTTGTTATCGGGTTATTCCTTCCTCTCCATGGTTCTCAGACAACCTGGTGGTGAGATGAATTTGTTTTTATGGTGCTTTAAAATTTTATTATTCACGTTTGTGTGTGTGTGTGTGTGTGTGTGTGTGTGTGTGTGTGTGTGTGTGTGTGTGTGTGTGTACATGTGTTCTGGTGCCACAAAGTCCAGAAGTTATAGGCAGTTGTGAGCTGCCCAGTGTGGGGGCTGGGAAACAAACTCCAGTCCTCTGCATGAGCAGCAAGCACTTTTAACCACTATCTCCAGCCTCTAAAACCTTTCCAATTACACCTTTTTTATTGTGTGTTTGAGGGTGATAAGGGGGTGGGGTGGGCCAGGTGCATGTGTGTCATGGCATATAAGTGGAGATCAGAAGACAACTTCTATAAGTCGGTTCATCCTTCTACCATGTGGGACTCAGAGATCAAACTCAGATTGTCAGGTTTACAGCAAATGCCTTTGCCTGTTGAGCCATCTCACCAGCCCCTTTCCTTGATTTTTTGGATGCTTTACATAGAAAACCAGTAGCCTGGAGCCCAGACGTTGATGCTTTTCTCTATGTAACTAATTTTTTCTGAGTGACCTTTTATCTTGCCTATCTTGAGCTTATAACCATCTCGAGCTTGACACCACAAAGCATAATTTTCAGTCTAATTGTTCAGCAGTCAACCTTGTCCCTGGGTAGACAGTGGCCACTGCCTGTGTTGTGGTTCAGGGACTCTTGCTGTGGCTGCTGGGAACAGGAGGGAACATTTGTCTTGTCTCCTAATTACAGGCCGATACACTCAGGACTACTTAGCTGTGAAATGCATCCTTTACTGGATGTCTGCTCTTCTCCATGACTCAGGCCATTATTTCCTCCTGGCCTCTGGGGAGTTCTTAGGGCCTCTCACGGTTCCTAAATCTATTTGCTTCCTGTCTTGGCTGCTGGTCAGCAGTGCTGCATTAAGTGCCTCCCCAGCCATTTCTGGCTGGCCCAGGAGCTGTTGCCTTAAGTCAGCATGGGAGACTCCATGGTTTCTGGGTCCTTGTCCCCAGACTCCAAAAAGACATAGGAGGTCGGCCATGGGGCTCAGTGCATGTACCATCAGAACCCCTTCCTTTCAAATCTGCATCCTGTGTCATAGGTCGATTTTCTGAAGGACTCTAGCTCTTATGTCCGTGAGGACACAATGACAGATTCCTCAGGAAAAGCCTGGCTCCCCTGGAGGCTTTCTGAGATGTGAAGTGGGTGCCCAGTGGGATTTGTTAACTCTTCTGGTTAGCTTTGTTTTTTTTTTTTAATTTTTTATTTTTTTCTGTTTCTGTTTTTGCTTTTCCCAAATGGACACAAGCCAGAGTCATCTTGGAAGAGGGAACCTCAATTGAGAACATGCCTCCATCAGATTGGCCTGCAGGCAAGTCTATGGGAGCATCTTCTTGACTGATGATTGAGAGAGGCAGGGCCCAGTGCACTGTAGGCTGTGTTATCCCATGGCAAGTGATCCTGGGTGCTATAAGAAAGCAGGCTGAGCAAGTCATGGGAAGCAGGCCAATAAGCAGGACTCCTCATGGTCTCTGCTTCAGTCCCTGGTTCCTTCCTTGAGTTTCTGCCCTGGATTCTCACAGTGACAGAGGGCATGTAAGCCAAATAACCCATCTCCTCCCCTAAGTTTGTTTGAGTCAGTGTTGTATCATAGCAACAGAGAAGCCACCTTGGACAGCACCTTTAAGGGGACATGTGATGGATGGGTGGTATATGGTGGCAGAAGGTGATGGGGATGGGAGGGAGTGTCTACAACTTCTAGCTTCTGCTCAATCTCAGGAACTAATGAAAGGAAGGTCTCCTGTGCACATAGTGTCATTCTGACCACCAGTCTCTCTTGGGTTTTTTTCAGGTAAGACAGATGGGCCAGTCCTTGGACACAGTCCATGTCAGACACAGAGCAACTACAAGGTATGCTATTTATGGAACACCAATGATTTGGCTCTCAGAAAGGGCTCAGGGGCCTGCTACATGGTGAGGTGTGGGTCATCATAGGATATGATCCATTAGCTGTACACCCTGCCTTATTGGTAGATACTCCAACTCATGCCTAACATACATACTAAGGAGGACATGCGCAGAAAATTGGAAAGAGGCTAAGTAAGGGCAGTGAGCTGTAGGAAGTTCCCTAGTATCTGATTCCTGGCATTTTTGTTCCTACCTCAGCCTGGCTTTATTCACCCTTTCCTGGGAGAGTTCTGCTTCCTTTCTACACCTCCAAGACCTGCTATGGCTATTTCTAGAAGATAGTGCCTATTTCCCATTACATAGAAATGGAGGGTGGAGGGGTGGAGGTGGAGAGTGGAGGCAGAGAGAATTCTGACCTTAACTGCAAGACAGAGCAGTTGCATTTACTGTGGTATCTTACCCTTGGTCCCACCCACTGGCCACCAGCTCTAGTTTCCAGAGTCAACTCAGCAGCCTGGAACTTGAGGAACAGCTCCAGGTGAGTGATTGTTTGTCAGTCTGAGGGTCTCTTACCTGTATCTCTGTTTCACAGACTGCTTCTCTGTTGACTTGCACACATGCCCTGCGTAGTACAATGGGAAGAACAGAAAGTTCCAGTTTGTGGCAAACCAAGTCAGGGTGAAGGGTGCATCGAAGGTCTTGAAAGTCAGTCTGGCGAGCTGCGTGGAGCCAGCCCAGGAAGCACACACGCAGAACACGACGGCCACGCCCCAGAAGACCTTCCTCAGCTGCTCTTGAGAGCATGTCCAGCTGTGCCGGCTCGTTCTCCCACCAGCCTCTGTCCCAGCTGGCGCCTGGGCCTCTGCAGGGCCCGGGGGCTCCCGGGGGCGCTCCTCCCCTGAAGAAGAGAAGGGGTGTTAGCTGGGTTTTTAGGACTTCTGGCTGAACCCACAGTTGGATCCCCGGCAACCATGTGGGGACAGGGAGGTTGGGTGCTTGGCAATGCTCTAGACTGCAACTGGAAGATGTACGCCAGGTTTCCTACCCTGGAGAGCATTGGCCCACAGGGAGGGACCCCCAGGCCAGGCTCGTCATCATCCTTCACCTCTGACCCGGAAGCCTTTTAGAATGGCAAACTTTTGGGCCAGACCTGACTTCAACAGGTGACCTACATGCTGAGTTTGAGGAACATATACCCAGAAGAGATGGAGACACTGAAACATGGGGTCACATATGTCCCAGGGTAACACTGAACTTGCTAAGAAGCTGAGGATGACCTTGAACTTCTGATACTCTCTTTTGTACCTCCCTGGTGCTGGAACTACAGTTGTATGTTACCATATCCTGTTTATGAAATCCTAGGGATTAAATTCAGGGCTTCATGTTTCAGAATATTCCTTTACATTGTGTGAAGATGTGTCACTGTGATTGGTTTAATAAAGAGCTGAATGTCCAACAACTAGGCAGGAAGGGGTTAGGCAGGACTTCTGGGGACAGAGAGGTCTGGGGGAAGAAGAAAGGCAGAGTTGCCAGCCAGATGCCAAGGAAGCAGGATGGGCAGTAGAGAGCAAAGATAACTGAACCACATAAAAGAATACAAATTTAAAAATATGAGTTAATTTAAGTTATAAGAACTAGTTAGGGACTGTAGGGAGCCGTCCCGGCATTCTCCATTACAAGATGGCGCCTGCATCCGGCTGGCATTGAGAGTAAACAAGTCAGTGCACAGTTGCAGGGTGATTTTCCCTCCCTTGGCCTCTGCCTCTCCCATGGCGTCATAAGGGCTGATGGGCTGCAGCCAATCAGGAGGTGACACGTCCAAGGCGAAGGTTGTAAACCTATATAAGGGTTGGGTTTTGGATGTTTGGGGTCTCCGCTCTGTAAGCTTATGCTCTCCCTCTCAAGATGCATTAAAGCTTTACTGCAGAAGGATCCTGAGTGTGCCGCGTTGTTCTTGCTGGCAAGACGGTAGCGTGGGACAAGGGACAAGCCTAAGCTAAGGCCAGGTTTTCCATAATTAATAATAAGTCTCTGTATCATTATTAATGAGCTGGTGGCTCAAACAAAAACCTGTCTACAGCTTCATGCATGCTAGGCAACCATTCTACTAACTGAGCTACATCCCCAGCCTCACGTACTTACCTATGTGTTTGTTGGGAATGCAACTGAGGGCCTCCTAATACTAGGCAAGTTTCTAACACTTAGCTGTAATCCAGCATTCACCACCCTTTTAATTGAAGACAGACTTTCACTAAGATATTTAGGTTCACCATGAACTTACTGTAGCTCAGATTGGTCTTGACCTTAAGATCCTCCTGTCTCAGCTTTTCAAGTATTGGAATGACATGTGTGCACCACCAGGTCTGGATTTTCACCTCATTTATGTCAGTTCACATGTGTTATGTGCTTCTGGGCTGCAACAGGGCCAAGGGATTTCTTGTGGAGGGGTGATGAGCTTTGACACCTAGAAGGTACAGGACCTTGATGGCTGCTCCTTTCTGTCTGGCCCTGAAAAGAAGATGGTTCTCCTTGTATTCTTCACATAGCAGCCACATAGGCATGGCTTCTCCCTTCCATCTACTCCAGCAAGCTTCCTGCAGCCTCACCTCCATCCTTAAAAGCCTCAATCTCTGGGCAGCTGCTGTGTGAGAGACCACAGACACAGAAAGCTGTGTCACTTGGAGGAGTCAGGCTACAGCCCATAGCTGGGCTGTACCATTCCCTGTCCTCAAAGACCCTGAGCAGGCAAGAGAGCCTGTGTCCCTTGTGAGCATGGACAGATGCAGACATGCAAAACTTGGCTTTCATGGCATCTCCCTGGCACTTGGCTGAATGGAGAAAGACATTTGCTTAGAGGTCCTTGTCACAACAAAAGTGCAAGAAATGGGCACCAAACATACTGATTTAATTCTCTGTATTTTACTTAACTCCAACAGCCATTTGAACAAAAGTTTACATGCCTTCTGAAACATTATACTTCTATGGGGCAAATCTGAACTCAAAGAGACCAGTCTGATTCATCTGTTTGAGCCACAAAAAAAAAAAAAAAAAAAAAAAAAAATCAACCTAAGTGAGACTATGGCTAATCGGCTAATCAAGGTCATGTGTTTTAGTAATACACAGCTCAGACTGGGGTGTAGCTCAGGTAGGGGAGTATGTGCCTAGCATGTACAAGACTCTGGGACCCATGTTCACCATTGTACAAACTGAACAGTGGTGGCACACCGCTGTGATCACAGCTCTTGGGAGATAGCGGCAGTAGGGTCAGAAGCTTAGGATTCTTCTTGGCTGCACAGTGACCTTGAAGCCAACTAGGATGGATATATATCTTCCTGTTTCTGACATATCCACGTTCAAGTGGGAAGTTCCCAGGGAAATCACAGTCACGACTTCGATTCGATCTTCTGCATGGCTCTACAAGGGCCTTAGGGTGGGGAGAGGCCCAAGAGAGGCAAGAATAGGCCTGGATTCTTGCTTCATGCCCTTCCACCAGTGGTCTCTGACTTGGCTCATAGTAAATTCTCAAAGCTGAAGGAGAATCCACTTCCAGCAAAAGTATGATGGATTTAACTTCCCTGACTACCTGTCAGGCTTTCTCAGCCTTTGCAGCCCTTCACTGTTGGGGTACTACGAGTATGCAGCCTTATCTCTGCCATGAGCTCATCTTAAAAAAAAAATAATAATGGTGAAAATAAAGATAATGTCTGTTTAGGAATAAAAAGCAGTTTCATGATAAGACTCCCGAGGAGACAGCGGGCCTTCACCGAGAATTCTAGCATGTTTCTTCAACTGTGGCTTTTATTAGTGCAAGTGCAGCCGTCATGCTTTATTGGATTAAGAGGCACCTGGGACGCTGCAGAGGCACACCTTTGGGTGTGTCTGTGAGGGACCTTCCAGGGAGGAGTGACTGAAGGAGGAAACCCACCCTGAATGTAGATGACACCAGTCCACGGGTTGGGGTCTTGGGCTGAGTGTTAAAAGGAAACAAAGGAAAGCCAGCTGCAAGCTGTTCCTGCCACCAAGCCTTTCCCATCATGATGGCCTATGTCCCAAAACTGTGAGTTAAAACAGATTCTCCTTGGTAGGTATCAAGCCAACAGTGGGGAAGTAGTCAGTGTATCAGGGTGATCTTTCTAACGTGGGGGGACTAAGCAGTGATGCTGGGCAGCTCTATGGAGAGACTGCCACCAAATTCTCTCTCTCTCTCTCTCTCTCTCTCTCTCTCTCTCTCTCTCTCTCTCTCTCTGTGTGTGTGTGTGTGTGTGTGTGTGTGTGTATACATGCAGAGGCCAAGGGTGACACCCGTATCTTCCTCAGTCTTTCTCCACCTTAGTTTTTAGACAGTCTCTCACTAAACCTGGAGCTCACTGATTGGGCTCGGCTGGCTGACCTACAAGGCCCAGGGTTCCTCCTATCTCTGTTTTCTCAACATGGGGCTTACAGTTGTACACTGCTGTATCTGGCTTTGCTTTAGCTGGGTGCTGGGGATAGAACTCCAGTCCTCATGTTTATATAGTAAGCACTCGTACTGACTGAATCATCTCTCCCAGCCCCCATCCTCCCGCCTGCCACCACCCAAGTTCTATGCTGATAAAATGCTTCATTGAATCTAGCTACTCTTTAGCTTTGTAATCAAGTCCTCTCACCAAGGGAGTATTCCCAATAACAAATGAAATGAAGACACTCAACCCAGCACGATAACCTCTGAAAACAATAACACTAAGTTAGAGCTTTGTTTTCCCACGAGTAACATAGGCAACTGCATTCCAGCTAGATGGGTTTTGCAGCTGAGTAAGTCTGGAGAACACTAAGCAGAGACAAGTTGTAGGAATACTCAAGGTTAATGGATGATGTGTGAGTCATCATGCTTGTCAGAGTTGTGACACTTGTGGTGGAGTTTAGGGTGCCTTGGAACACACTTTGGACAACCCTGGCCTATACTTATAAAGAACAATAGACAAGGATGTCACCAACCTTATATCATTGCACTGAGCCTTGAAGTCCTGATTACATTAATTCCCTTACCTTTTTCATTGTGTGTGTGTGTGTGTGTGTGTGTGTGTGTGTGCATGTGTGTATACTTGAGTGTGTGCATGTTTGTGTTGGAAGCCAATTTTGGGTGTCATTTCTCAGGAGCAGCTTTTGAAACAGGGTCTCTCAGTGGCCTGGAGCTCAATGGTTCGGCTAGGCTGGTAGGTCAGTGAGTCCTAGGGGTCTACTTGTCTCTGCCTCCTCAGTCTTGAGATTGCAAGTGTGTGCCATCATGCCTATCTTTTTTTTAACATATGAATGTGTGTTGTGTGTGTGTGAGAGAGAGAGATAGACAGAGAGACAGAGAGAGACAGAGAGAGATGTGCACATGTGTTTATGAGAGTTCTCTTGTATGTATATGTGCATTCACACACATTGCAGAGGCCAAAGGTTGACACTGGGTATCTTTCTTTTCCTTTTTTAAAAAAATTATTTACTTATTCTTATTTTGTGTGCATTGGTGTTTTGACTGCATGTCTGTCTGTGTGAAGGTGTTAGATCCTGGGGTTACCGACAATTTGAGCTGCTATGTGGGTGCTGGCAACTGAACCTGGGTCCTCTGGAAGAGCAGACAATGCCCTTAACAACTGAACCATCTCTCCAGTCCCTTTGGGTGTCTTTCCTAATCAGGCTCCAGCATGTACCTTGTATATTGAGGTGTGGTCTTTCACTCAGCCTGAAATTCACCTATTTTGCTAGTCTGGCTAGCCAGCTTGCTCTGGCTATTTCTCTGTTTCCCATATGTCAGAATATAGGCAGGCTGCCACATCCCCCCAATTTTTATGTGGGTTCTGGTGATCTGAACTTTAGTCCATACCTTTGCATGGCAAGTGCTTTATCCACTCAGCCATCTCCCCAGGCTCGGGC